GGAGAGAAGCTTGTTCCGCTTAATTAGGAGAGAAAAGTTTTGCTAGGCCAGCAGCTGGTCTCAAAGGGTTATATCCTATACCCAAGAAATACATGTCTCGAACGTTATATGGAAAACTGATTGTCAGATTATTAGTTGTTAATTCAAGGGTCAAGATTTATAAAACACATAAATAAATACTGACAGAAATCCAGATTTCTCTGATTTACATTTTCATTTAATTTAGATGGTATTAATTAAATTTTTTTTCAAAAAGTCTAGTGCAATTTCATTTTTGTTAATTAGTTTTTAAAAATTATTTTTCTCTGGACAAAGTGAAAAGAGCAATTTATTTATTTAGTTAAAAACACTGTGTGTACTAAATCATGAAAATTTATTTGAATTAATTATATGTTTGCAATTTTAAAATATGTAAAAAGATTGTTTTGTTATATTTTTTTTTACAAAGCAAAATATTTTTATCAAAGAAAATTTAAATTGAAACAAATTAAAGTAATATACGAGTTTTTTTTATCTAAAAGGAATTCTTATATTCAACATTAGTAAAAGAAAATAATTTCTAAAGAAAAATGTCTCGGTTTTTATATACAAAAAAATGAAAAGCTTAATTCTCACGAAAATACATTTAAATATTTTTCTGTATCATAATATAGGCGCAAAAATGAACATCAAAGTAAAAAAATTTCTTTGCTAAATACTTTTATCTGCATTTTTTTTTTATCAAATGTTGCACTTTAAGACCATTTACCTTAATAACGCTAACAGCTTCTTTAATCTTTGAAATCTCGGAAATTTATAGTCATATTTTATCTTTTTTTTAAATATAATATTTAACTTACTAATTTTCATTAAATGTCCCTTTTTAAAAATAATTTTAAAAAAATATATCTGGACATGAAAATAAATTGCCTGAGTGAATAATTCACTTGCTATAACCATAAAGAAAACCATGCTTTGTCTCATCTCGGGAAAAGTTAATTAACCAACGGCTAAGAGTTGAATCCTAAAATTAATTTGCTTATAAAGGATCGCATATGGTTGCATATAGTATTTTCAGAGTGTCCAGTAAATTCATTGCTCTTTTCACCTCTCGGCAGAAATAATTTACCACTGAGAAATATATACATATATAGTAAGCAACAAATTGTTCTCGTGGCGATTAACATGAAACTATATCCGCTTTACTTCAGTACCAATGTGAACCAGAATATTATTAAAACTTTGTTATATATAACCGAGTTTAATGAAAGTCTTGATACATTTAAATTTTATTCCCCTTTTTGATATTGTCCAGACAAAAATTAATAAAAATTCGCAATTATAATTTATTGATGGAATATGTAAAACGTTTTTTTTTTTTTTTTTCTTTTTTTTTAAACGGGAAACCATTTTTAAGAGTCGAAATTATACCAACTGATATTTGTTGGAATGATTAGCGTGTCGCTCGTAAGTATTTTATGAGCACTTAAAAATATACCGAGTAGAGCGGATTATAGCAAACGATTAGCAATAAGCTTTTTACCATTACGAGCAATGAAAAAACCATTGCAAATACTTACGTATATTAAAAAAAAAATATGAAGACGCATTATAACAAAAAATCAATAATATGTATATTAAAATTTCTTTTTTTTTATCATATTATTATAAGATATTAAATGTCATCTTAAGCTTTAAGAATGATAAAGAAAGGGAAGAGGAAAATTTTTGCATAAATTAAATTTCTGAAATAGATAAAAGAGAACGAATTTCTTTTATCTTCTTAATATGTACATAAAGAAAAGATAAAATTTTCTTTATTCCTAAAGACAAGAAATTGAATCAACTTAATATTATAGTATAGATACATTATTCTGTATAATTATCTTTTTTTTTTTTTTTTTTTAAATGAAGGTATTTTTATATTAAATTTTTGAAAATTTCAAATTATAATTTCATTAAAATATTAATTATATTATTTGTAATTTAACTCGTTTTAAATTAAAAAATATTTATTATTTTGAAATTTTTTTTATTTTTTTAAACAAAGGGGTTAAAAAAATAAAATGCGTGACATGATGTATGACGTGTATTTGCGTTGTGGGAAATGAAAAATTGCTCCACCTTGACGTGTTTTTTTTTCACTATATATATATTGTAAATTATAAATGAACTAAAGTACTAAAGTGTGTATATACTTTGAAAACAAAATAATAGACAAACTGAAAAAATTTTCTTTTTTCAAATAAAATTATATTATTATATTATATTATTAATTAATAAATTTTTTCAAATTACTATATATCTTGTAGGAAATTTTCTGGTGCATCTTTATTTTCATCATAAATTTTTTTTTTGTTTTTGTAACAATTTTTGAGAAAAAAGCAAAAATCTAAATTTTTCATAAAATCACTTTAAATTAAAATTTTTACTTTAATTCGTTCTAAAATGAAAAGTTTTGAATATTTTTCCATACAATTTACAGGAGTTATAGTTTAAACCATCCTTTAAATGATTCTTAATAATAATTCTTCATTTTTTAATTAGAAAAAAAGTTATTAATTCCTCTGAATAAAATGTTTATTGATACACAATAAAGATTATTGTAAAGTTTTATTTTAATACACTTTTTTTTTTATTATCAATGAACATTTTATTCAGAGGAAGGTTTTTCCTCAGAGAAAATTCCCTAGATAAACGAAGCTTTTAAATAATATTAAGTCTTGCAGCACTGAGCAACAAAAGAATTAATAATTTTTTTAAAATTAAAAATGAATTATTATTAAGGATCATTCAAAGGATAGTTTAAACTATAAATCCTGTAAATTGTATGTAAAAGTATCCAGAACTTTACATTTTATAACGAATTAAAATGAAAATTTTAATTAAAAGTGATTTTTAGGAAAATTTAGTTTTTTGCATTTTTCTCAAAAACTGTTACAAATACAAAAAAATTTATGAAAAGAAAAAAGATGCGCCAGGAAATTTCGTACAAGATAGTAATTTTTTTTTAAAAAAATGTTTTTGTTGATAAACGTTGCGTACTTCAGCTTCGTTTCAATTCTATTAAATATTATATAAACATATAATTTTCATTATTATCATTTTATATGTAATAATTTTCTGATAAATTTAAATTATTATTGATAATATTAATTTTAATTTCTTTATAACAAACAATTGCACAACAATTGCGCGCCTTTAACTTTGCTAGTTAATTAATATTTTTTGATTAAATCAAAGAGAGGAAAATATTGAAAAATTTCTATCCTCGAGTTTCAAATGTTTCGGACAATTGAATATTGATTTTTGTTTCATGATCATTGACATTTAACATCAGTGAAGTTACAAATACAAAATCTACACACTTGTAGTATTGGCAACTAATCTAAAAAAAACACAGAATAGGTTGAGACTCAATTTCAATACAATTTTTTTTTGTGTTTGCTTGAAAATAAACAAATATATCTTCATATGTATATATATATATGTAAAAACAGTTTTGAGAAACGTTTTTCATTTGAAAATGCATCAGTTTGTGTTTCCGGGACTGATTACATCTAAAGGTAATTTCCTTGCTTTGAAGCATGTTGTTTGTACAAAAGAAAATCTCTGTATATTCTTTTTTTTTTTTTAACAAAGTTAAGTTCGTTTTGTTTTATTACATGTGTGTGGGAAAAAAAAAAAAAAGTTTTCAACTTTGCGTGATTGAAATTTTCTGAGAGAAAATTTTCCAATTATTTCACATGGTAGAATAGGAAAGCACACATCAAATATGAAGCGATGTTTATACTTCACATTATTTTATCTTCTCTTTGTTTCTCTTTTTCTTTGTATATATAAAAGAATTTCTGATTGTATAGGTGATGAGAAAATTTTTGATATTTTTTTCGAAATATGGTGAAAGATGAAAAAAAAAGTGTGGCTAATTGAAGAAAATGTGTTTTAAATGATAAATTATCGTTTTTTCTTGTATTCGAATTTGCAAAGAATGAAAAGGATAATAAATTTGAAAAAAAGTCTGAGGTGGCATTTAATTTATCGTTAGTGTTCGTGTCACAGGTTTTTTTTTTTTGTAAAGCACACACCTGGTTTCCTAATTTACTTTAGATTTGTTGGTTCGATGCATTCTTTGGTATTTTTTTCTTCTCTTTTTTTTTCTTCTTCTGAAACTTAAACGGGTTTTGCACTCTTTGCGATTGGTTGCCACAGACGTAATTGTTCTTCCCTATCACGTACAGATCGAAATCAAATTCTAAACCAAACACTCGGAACTCATTTCGCAACGATTGGTTAAATTCTTTATACACACTTCTTTTTTTGTATTTAAATTTTATAATTGAACAAAACTAAAATTTTAATTTAATTTTTCGTTATGGAAAATTGTATCATAAAAAATAGATAATTGAAAATATTTTGAAAATATTAATTATAAAAAGATTTATCTGTTATATGGAAGTTTATGTTGAAGAAACATTTCTTTTTGATGGGAAGTGTTTCATATTGCATTTTGCTCGATACCAAAAAAACATTCTGTTTAAGACTGTTCGAGGAATAACAGTTATTTATTTTCTGCGATTGCTTATGTCATATCCGTAACGATATTTAATGTACCGGATATTTTTCCACTTTTTTTTGACATTAAAATATAATTTTTTTTCTTTTTCTAAACATACAGTTAAAATTTGTTAGTTTCTTCGTGAATTTGTGAAAATTGAAATACAAAACATTTTCTTGGGAGGAGAAATTATTGTAATTCTTTGAAAAATTTGAAGTTATATTTAAGAATAATAAATAAATTAATATTTTTAATTGAATTAAAAATATTACTAATTTAATTAATGTTGGTTTTTTTTTAGTGAAAATTAAAAAAGGAAAATTAAATTACGGAAATGTAAAAAAAGGAGTAAATTATAGAAGAGAATTTTCAAGAGAATGTTTTGCTTGAGTTTCTTTTGTCTTGACACACTTGGGTTGGTTATATATATATGTAGGGGATGATAAATGAAATGTTAACTCACCTTTCCAAAATTGGAAAGACCGCCGGTGTGAGGCACTTGACCTGGTTCATCCGCCGTGCTGCAGTCTGCCCTACCGAACCAACAGGTCAGTAAGGCATTTTTCAAATTTCATTTTATTTGTAAAAAAAATAATTATAAAATGTTATTTGAAATCTCAGAAAACAGTTGAGAAAGTTTTTCTTTTTTTTTAATTCGAGAAACAATAAGAAAAAAATTATTTTCCCCACTCTTTTTTTTTTGTAAATAAAAATTTGATCAATACAATCAAATTTGGGTTAAATCAAACAAACTGTTGCCTGAATCGAAGGGCGAATAGAAAAAGCAGTGAAATTGTATTTTTTTTTTTTAATTAAAACAATTTTTTTTTGGTTTTGTTTTCATTTGGATAATTTTTGTTGATTGAAAAAGAAAATTCATTTCGTAATATTATTTCGAAAAAAATACGTTTTTCGAAAATTTTGTAACAAACTTCAATTATTATATAAATGGGACGTTCCACGTCAAACGGAACAGAGCTCTAGCCAAAAATTGGCTTGATAAAAAAAATCGTTTAAGGGCTGAAAAAATTTGTACACTCTTGTACTTTCGAAAGCAGATGGGCGATTTCAGAAATTCAATATGGCGGCGCCTGTAGATGTGATATAAGTCATCAATGTCACGATTCGACAAATACAAACATGAATAAAATTTCCAAAATTAATTAAATTGAATCAAAAAATACACTTTTAAGCATTTTTGGGGTCGCTGAATACGAATCTGAAGTCAGATTTTAAAAATTCAAAATGGCGGATCCAAAATGGTGGTCGATTTTTAAAAATTTAATATTTTTCCTCAAAACTTACTACTTGGGGGTTTTCGGGGTTGTAGAATACGAATCTGAAGTCAGATTTTAAAAATTAAAAATGGCGGATCCAAAATGGTGGTCGATTTTTGTTAAAACTAAATATTTTTTCTCAAAACTGGTTACTCGGGGGTTTTTGGGGTCGCTGAATACGAATCTGAAGTTAGATTTTTAAATTCAAAATGGCGGATCCAAAATGGTGGTCGATTTTTGTTATAACTCAATTTTTTTTAACAACTGGTTACTCGGGGGTTTTTGGGGTCGCTGAATACGAATCTGAAGTCAGATTTTTAAATTCAAAATGGCGGATCCAAAATGGTGGTCGTTTTTTGTTAAAACTCAATTTTTTTCTCAAAACTGGTTACTCGGGGGTTTTTGGGGTCGCTGAATGCGAACATGTTGTAAATAAAATAATAATAATAAAAAACTAAGCGCATATGAAAAATAAAAAAATAATATGTAAAATTAATGAGTAGTAAAGTGTTTGTAAGGACTTTTGATATTTAAATCTTTCTTTTACAAAGGTAAAATCATAAAGCTCTAAAAAATATACACTGTTAATTACAATGCTATCGTTCATAAAAGGTTTCAAAGACACTTGGCTAAAAAATATACAAATGCTCCTTTGTTTTAAAAATAAGCGACCTTTAAAACACCCGAATAACATATTTAATCAAAAAAATCTAATTTTATAATTAATTCATCCACACCGAAAACCCTAAATAACAAGTTTCGAAGAAAAAATTGAATTTTAACGAAAATGGACAGCCATTTTGGATCCGCCATTTTGAATTTTTAAAATCTGACTTCAGATTCATATTCAGCGACCCCAAAAACCCCCGAGTAACCAGTTTTGAGAAAAAATATTTAGTTTTAACAAAAATCGACCACCATTTTGGATCCGCCATTTTGAATTTTTAAAATCTGACTTCAGATTCGTATTCTATGACCCCGAAAACCCCCAAGTAGTAAGTTTTGAGGAAAAATATTAAATTTTTAAAAATCGACCACCATTTTGGATCCGCCATTTTGAATTTTTAAAATCTGACTTCAGATTCGTATTCAGCGACCCCAAAAATGCTTAAAAGTGTATTTTTTGATTCAATTTAATTAATTTTGGAAATTTTATTCATGTTTGTATTTGTCGAATCGTGACATTGATGACTTATATCACATCTACAGGCGCCGCCATATTGAATTTCTGAAATCGCCCATCTGCTTTCGAAAGTACAAGAGTGTACAAATTTTTTCAGCCCTTAAACGATTTTTTTTATCAAGCCAATTTTTGGCTAGAGCTCTGTTCCGTTTGACGTGAAACGTCCCAAATATATAATTATATCTGATTTAAAGTAGCAAGTTGAAGGAAATTTACAGTGATGACAATTTGTAAGTTGAAAATCGCTCAGTGAAACTTTGAAGACATTGAAATTTCAAAGCTCGTAAGAGAAAGAAACAGACATTCACTGTTAAGATTCAACTAATGCGTTCTCTTTCTCTTTCTTCCCATCTTGTGAAATTAAACAAAAGAAAATGGAAGCTATTCTATATAAATTGCTTTTGCACATTTTCGAGTAGCTTTCAGAAAATTACTTCTTGTAAAATGAAACAGCCATTGATGTGTTTTTTTTCTTGTATAAATTTTTTCTTACCAATTTCTGTTTAGTGTACACACAATGAGTGTGTTTTAATAATAGTTCAACAAGGAATTTTTTTTTTTTTATTGTTTTATTTTAGTTAATTTTTCCATTATTGGATAAATAAAAAAAAAAAACAATTTGTTCATATTTCTGAAATGAATGTTTTTAATTGAAAATATGAAAGAGGTTAAATGCAGTATGTAATTTGAAAATAATTGATATATATGAATAAAATTTCACGCTAGAGAGAATGTAAATTTATTTTTATTGATTGCACAGACATTATGGAATTAAAAGATTTGAATTAGTTTCATCCTATTTGCACTTTTGCGTTGATTGTTTTTGTCAGTCGAGCTATAAATTAATACTTTTTGATTTTGATTCTATATACAGTTGAAACTATTCGAGAAAAGAAAATCGGATAACGACCAATCGCTCTATATATATATATATACACGAATGGTAACAAAAGCAACATGCTATCAGCGTATTTATACAGATATTGGTTGTATGTACTATGTGAAACTTGTTTGCAATTATTGTAGAACGTAAAATCGTTTTTAAATACAATCACTGATTTCACTGCTTTTATGAATATCCACCAATTATGCAAAATTTTACATATATAGAGGTGTTGTTTCCAATTCAAACGTTTACTCGGAAAATTAAGTTTTATTTCTAAAACACGTAAAAAATTTTTATGAAATAATTATATTTGTAATGAAATTTTCATAACAAAATTGTTTGTGAAATGTAATTCATTTTTAATTATTGGTGTATTTTTACAAATTTAAGTTTTTGAATCAAAGAGATAGAGAGAGAGTAGGAAAAAAAGTAATTAAAATAAAGATTGAAATAAGACTAGACTTTTGAAAAGTCGATTAAACTGGAGGAAAACTACTTTTACGAGGGGGGGGGGGCTGGTTTTTTTTCCCTCCAAGAAGTAGTTTTTAATTTTCTTCTTCTTGTTTTCAAAAGAAAAGAAAAAACTTTTCAACTTTTCGTATCCGATACTCACCAAGGTGTATTACACGTATGAGTTAGAGTGAGATATCTGGCTCCTAACTCGTACAGCATCCGCAGCACGGCGAGACTTGCTCCAACTGCATGACCCCCTTCTACCCCTATGAGACTTGCTAATCTACCATCTTTGTGAGCTTCTTCTATCCCTGTAATTTCAATTAAAAAAAAAAAAATTTCTTATTACAACTTTTCATAAATTGAGAAAATTTTTTTTTATTGATTTAAATTTCTGAAAATAGTTTTCAAAAAGAAATTTTAAAAAAATGAAATAATAAAAAAATAAAATGATAAATATAATAATAATAAAAATTTTTATTATATCATAAATTAATTATTGTTGCGATTTTTCTATGTTGCAGATTCCATATTGTGATTTTGAAGCGCCTTTCCAGTGATATGCAAATTGGTGAGTAGTATTTTTAATTTTTTAATTGTAGTTTTAAATCATTTTTTTAAAGACCTACAAAAATTTATTACAAATTCCGGTTACGTTTTTTCGTATTGAATATTTTGTTTAGTAATTTTTTTTATTGCTTTTGCAATTATAACTCTCTAAATCTGAATTAGTAAAAAAGTTTACTATTTTAAATTAGTGACTCACTTTTTGCTTCTCAATTAGTAAAATTCTACTAGTTATTAGTAACTTTTACTAACAATTAGTAAAATTTAACTAATTCTAAAGCAAAAAGTGAGTCACTAATTTAAATTAGTAAACATACTAATTCAAATTTAGAGAGAATAATTGTTTACCCGTCTATATTAAATAAATATATAATACAAAATTCAAATTATAATTTTAATGTTAAAATTATAATTTTGCCATTTTTGTATTAATAATTCAATCTATTTTACAAAATACCTATGTTTATAATTAATTGGTGATAAATATTAATTACTGTATCAATTACTAATATTAATGAAAATCTCTATATTACATATTGTAATAGCAAGAAATCAATCACTAATTTGAAACACAAATAACCGAAATATTGTCTAATTTATTGGTTAATTATTTAATAATATTGAATAATTTAGAAAGAGTAAATTCATTTTCCGATTATTTATTTATTTAAGGCATTATTTTCATTACAAGTTCAATTCGACTTTTTTTTTTTTTTTTTTTTATTCGTGTCTAGATGGGCAATATCGTTTATCTAAACTGATTTTACTTACGCGGCGAAATACCGCAATCAAATCGAGAGATTACACGTGAAAGTGGGTTTATGGTTGTTCATTTGATTACACATAACTGTCCAGTTCAACTTCTCGTCAAATACATCGAAGCATATTCACTTGAAAACTAGTATCGGAGAATAAAATTGTTGACTTTTTTTTTTTCCCCCGCCCCATTCCAGATGTTCCCTCTTATTTAATTGAAAGTGACTATTTGCTTTTATATATATATTTTAAAATATGAAAAAGAATTTCGAGTTTATTTTTTTTTCTTCTAATAAAATGAAATTCTTTTCTATTTTTTTTAATAGTTTTTGAATTATTATAATTAATTCTTGACAAATTATTAATTAATTTGTTAATTAGTTGTCAATTATGATTTTCTTGTTTGGAATCGAAAAAAAATTGTATAGGTATTCTAAAATATATAATTTTCTCGTTTTTATTTCACGCCGCTATAAATTTTATCATTTTACTATTTTCGAGAGTTTCAGCTCACTTACTGGGTACTCGAAAGTTGTTAAGCTGCGAAAAGTGTTTATTTAAACAACTTGAAAAGTGCTTGATTCGCACACTTGTGATATATCGATATGAGAGTGATATATATATATATATATATATATATATATATATATTTATTTGTTAGAGAATTAATCGTGAGATTTTATTCCTCGATTCAGCAAACTCGAAACGTGTCAAAGGGATTGCACGAGTGAGTATTGAAGTTCAATTATAAAATTTTCTATCGTCAGGGTCGTTAAATTGAACTAGAAAGTTATAATTGCTTTACCCGAATTTAATTTCGTTTACCGGGGTATGAACAATTTTTTGAAATATCTGATTTTCTTTCTCGAAATTTTTTTTTGGAAAAGAGAATTTAAAAAAAAAATAAAATATAATAAATAAATATATAATAAATTGCAATTTAAATTAATTGGTTCTGAATTTTAAAAAATAAAATAATGAACGAAATAAAAATTGCAAAATTAATAAATTTAATAAACTTAATAAATTAAATAAATTAAATAGATTTAATAAATCTAATAAATCTGATAAATCTAATAAAACTTAATAAATTAAATAAATTAAATAGATTTAATAAATCTAATAAACTTAATAAATTTAATGGAATTAATAAATGAAATATTTGAAATAATGGAAATATTCATCTTTAAAGGGTTTTTACAGTTTTAAATTGGCAGAGAAACATTGTGTTATATATCTCACTAAACCCGTTAAAGGTGGAGGAAGACGCTGAGGATACTCTGTTACAAACACTGACGTTGGCTGTGTGTTGTCTTTTTCCGACTTGTGCGGGTTAAGAGAGATATATGTCAGGGCGTCTATCAGACGTTCCACGTCCGTGTAAAAGCTCCCTTATCGTGCTTTCTACTTATTTCAACTTTGCGAGTATAAAGCTTATACTGTGTAACTAAGTTTCAAAATTTGTTTGTCAAGAGAGAATGTCCGTATATTAATAATAATTTCATAATGTCAAGTATTTCATGTACAAATATTTTCAACAGAAGAATTAGTGTTGAATTTTATCAATCTTTGAGAATTATTTGCAATTTTTCTAAATTAAATTAAAATTGTTTTAATCTTCTCGGAATTAATTTTTTTAGGTCCTCCTTTTTTTGGGGGGGAAATTGATTTTAGAAAATTCATAGAGATTTTTTTTCGCACTTATTATTCTAGAGGTAGATAAAAATTTGTATTCTAATTTGGCTAATTTTATAATTTACGATTAATTCGATAATTTTCGATTTTTATATGAATTACTTTTTTTTCTGTGGCGATTGAAAAAAAAAATCTAAATCCTGATTCATTTTTAGTAGATAAAGGTTGTGTTGTAGCAAACGTTCTTTTGGCAAATGGCCAGAAAATTCTGGTTTTGTGCGTCGAATACACTTGAATCGAAACAAATACATCGAGTGGATACTTGAAGCTCAAAGTGGCATATCTACTCTTCTATTTCCCATATTCGCATTTGAGATTTCGCCTCTCATGCAAAGCAGATTTAATTCTCTTTTGGTCGCAGAAAATTGAAATCAACTGATATGTTTGACGTTCATCCAAGAATCAAATTTCACAAAGTTTATATCTTCTTTGTAAAGGATTTATCCTCTAGAAAAAATTATATTTTTATTTCCATTAATTAATAAAATAAAATAATAATAATAATTACACAATCATAACAGTTTTTATCAGTTTCTTAATATTTCTCTCGATTAATTCCATTTCTATGAAAATTGCTTTTATTTCTACACACAAAACGATTAACTGGGATTTTTTGCATCACTTGTTAGTTTCGATTTTAAAGTGAATAGCAAGACGAATCGAAAATCAAATAGGTCGGAGAGAGAGAGAGAGAGAAGGGTTGAAAACGACTGGACCAGCGCCAGACAAATGGACCGGGTTTGGAATTTTATCATCATTCAGGAACGTTCGCGATGCTTGACCCAATAACGCGAGATATTTTCTCCATTTATCGTATGGTCGTTTTGTCCAGCCTTCATATATAGAAAAGTGCCGTTTGACAAGTACGCGAATTGCGCCTGAAGCTCAATTTTTATCAGACAAATTTTATTTTATTTTTTTTTTCAAACTTTATATGTCCAAACATCAATTTAAAAATTGACAAATATTTTCACAACAGTTAAACTAAAAAAAAAAAAAAATAATAACAAATGTAAGCTCTAACTTTTTATAGATATTTCTCGTTATTTTCTGTTTTACTTTTCGACATTTTTTTTTATTGTCCCGTCGACTTATTTAAATAAAATATTAAAAAACTAGTAATTAATTTAATAACGCGATGGGAATATAAATCTATTTTTATTTTTGTAAAAAAAAAATAATAAACTACTAGTTATATTCTATAGGTCATATTATGGGATATATAGCTTCAAACCCAAAAGTATCTTCCATAAACATGAAGACAGTATATTTCTATGTCGCATAAATTTTTCGACATATATATTGTACCATATGTAGAAATTTATGTATTCGATACTGAAATCTATAACGAAAATCATTTCTCCTTTAGAATTTATAGCCTATGAAATTTATATAAATTATACTCAACAATTTTACATCCCCCCCCGTGGCAGATGTATAGCATAGAATGAAATTGCGTATCACTTTTTTTTTTTTTTTTTTTTTTTATTTTTTTTAATACACTATAGAGTTAAATAATAAATGCGTGAATTAAGTAAAGTTGAATTGCAAATTTTTTTTTTGTAAAGTAAGAGACGATAGAAAAAAAAAAGATGTTGAATATGTAAATGGATGAAAGGTGCGACTTGCATTTATTAATGATAAAAAAAAAAGAAATTTAATACAAGAAGCTTTTACATAATGAAACCGTAAAGTAATAGCAAGTTACTGGTTAAATAAAGCGAAAAGTAATTAAATGCAATATATAATAAAAAGGGGTTAAATGAAGTTGAACAGTAAAGTAAAATTTTTTGTAAAAATATACGCGAAACTTATATAATTTTATTTAGTTCAAATAAAATAATAATGATAATAAAAATAATAATCATAATAGTAATAATAAATATAAATAAATACACTGAAAAAAAAATTTATTTGATTCAAATACTCGATTACTTGACTATTATCAAATAAATATTTATTTTTTATCAAATAATTATTATTTGAGTCAATTAAATGGTATTTGTTTCAGAAATTATTGGTTCAAATACAATTTATTTAATTCAAATAAAAATTATTTGGTTCAAATAAATATTTATTTGATAATACTCAAGTAATCGAGTATTTGAATCAAATAAATTTTTTTTTCAGTGTAAAAATGAAACTAAAAAGAAATTTATTTGGGATTAGAAAAATTAAATTATTAAAAAGAAATAAATTTAGAATAAATTTTTGTTTGGACGATAAAGTTTAAAGAATGAAAATTTAAAGTGACGTGAAAAAGTGTGCGACTTACCCTCGGCAGTAGTAACGAGAACCATATTTTGGGGATGTTTGTTGACCAGTCTTCGAATTAGGTCGATTTGCTCGAGGGCAAGTTGTACCGAGTCCAAATGCTGTGAGGAACATGGCACATATGCCGACCAAAACTGCAAAAAGCATATATCATAAAAAATTTATTATTATTTATTATCATTCTTTTTTTTATAACGTAGAAAATCCACATGTGCTTAAAATACATAATCATAAAAGGGAACTCTATTTATTACATAATAATGTAATTTTCAAAATGCAAGCACATATAAATTTTGTAAATTATAAATATTGAACAAGTTTCAATTAAATTTCTGTTTTTTTTTTGTAGAGTACAAAAATATTTAGGAATAATATATATGTAATTTTAATAATTTGTCTCTACGGGTACAAAGGAGATAATTAATTTCACAATTTGCACACGTTAATTATTTTATTGTATATATAAGCGGGAAAAGAAAATTTTTTCCTCCAAATTAGGATTTAATTAACAAAATTTGTCGAATTATATTCTTTTTGCGGTAAAAATTTTAACTAAAATTAGTGATTGACATATTGCACATTTTTAAAAATTAAAAAAAGTATTAAAAGTTTTGTATAAATAACTAATTTTTATTGGATTAAAAATTGAGTGAATTAATTAAAATTTTTAAATAATTTTATATTTAATTTCATTTTTATAGTTTTTAATATTTTTCTATGAGATTTTTAGAAATTAAATTTGTTTACTGTAATTTGCTTCAACTCACTTTGAATTCAATTAAGTCGCTATTAAATTACTATATACATGACACGTTCTACAGTGTCGCTGTTTATGAAAAGAATTCCTTTTTCTTTTTTTTTCTTTTTTTTTTTTTTTTGAAACATTACAATTTTTTGTACGATTATAGATAAGCGTATATATGTAGAGAAAAATACGCGCGCTTGTAGGCGAAACTAATTTTTCACTGGTCGTAGCATAGAATATAAATGTCGACGAGTAAACTTTTATTTAACGACGCGAGACGATATTTATGTTTAAAAACGTGTCACTTGCTTTTTAAAGCAAACGGCTGAAACGGATGTGGAAATTTTTTTTTTAATATAGATGTTGATGAACTTCATTTTCGGTCGCAGAAAGTGTTGGATAATTTAGCCAAAGAGTCATTTATATTTTCTAAAACTATTATATTATTAAAAATAATATAATTATAATATAAAATATAATATAAAATATAATATAAAAGTATTTTTATACTTTTAAGATTTAAGAATTTTTTTTTATTATATTTTTATTATCTTTCTATTATCTTTTTTATCATCTTAATTTTTTATTATCCCCCTGACTTTTGGCGGGGATTTTCTTTTTCATCGATTTCGACGCGTATGAAAGTAATTGTAATAATCGTTCTTCGTTTTTTTTTTTCTTTTTTTTTTCTATAAAGGTCTTTCTTGGTATTTTGTAATGAAACTTGACTCTCGTAAAAGTTAAATGCACTTCAATTTATTTTGATCCACGGAGCCTTTATTTATTGCTCTTTGCTCTCGCTTCGGGGATGGGAAAATTGCCATCTCGCTAGCAGAAGACGACGACGACGGGGACCAAACAGCCTTTTTTTCCTATGTGTCCTGCGGAAGTGCAAGATCCGTGCGGCTTCTGGCTGAGCGAGAATACTTGTCGGCTATGGATCTTCGATATCGAAAAGCAAAGTGCTTCAGGTCTATGCTTTCATTCTCATACCCAGACTTTTCCTTCACTTGTGAACCATTTTCCTCTTATTTTCTCTCTTTCTCTCTTTTGCTCTGTCCAAGACTGGAAACTTTTGGGAAACTACTTCGATAAAAGCACCCCTGCTGAAACAGTGGCCTGTGTGAAAGAGTATGGAGTTTGATCAGGCCATTCTCTTTTTCACTGCCACCCCTCTCTCGTCCGCCCTTCAACATTCTCTCTCTCTGTATATATACCTTTAAGATTCTTAAGTACTACTCATTCGTTTTGATTTTTATTACTTTTCTTTTCATTTTCTTCTTTCCTTTTGAATTTCTTCTCACTTTCTCACTCGTTATATATACCTCTTGTGATTTTCTATATAAAAAAGTCGTCTCGAAAGTATATATGTATATTGGATCGATAAATTTAATTTTCCTTGAATAATATGGGAACGTCAATGATATCTTTCTCACTAAGATAAACAGTAGATCAGATGCTGAATTAATTTCGAATTTTTTTGAGATATTTGAATACTTTTATAATACAGTATCGAGAGTAGGAGGAGGTGATTATTCCTTTTGAATAACATTTGAATAATATATTCAGTGTTTTTGTGCGATGGTGTGTAATTTTTTCGATTTTTGAAAGATTTGTTTTTTTAAAAATGTGAATTTTATTTTTCTTTAATTGTGCGCGCATAGGCATGAAATATTTTAGGAAAATATATATTTATTTAAATTAAAATTTTACTGACTGTAACTGACCTTTACTACTTTTAAACGAAATAGTGAAATTAAATTAATTAAAGAAAGTTATAATTAATTTAAATTAGTTTCTAAAAATTAAATAAATTAAAATTATTATTACAACCGAGTTAATGTGCTTTGTGTCTGACTGCAACTAGATTTTACTACTGATAAACAAAATTACGCCAATTTAAATTTATTGCCCGTCTAAAACTGGATTTTACTACTTATAAACAAAATTACGACAATATAAATCGTTTTGTCTGGCTAAACCTGGCTTTTACTACTTATAAACAAAATTACGACAATTTAAATCGTTTTGTCTGATTAAATTTCTATTTTATTTACTCGTTTTCAATTTATTATCATGTTTACTACAAAATAACAACATTTAATGAATTTAAATAGTTTTGGCTGATTGTAAATGTTTTTTTCTACTGGCAAACAAAATTACTAAATTAAATTAATTAAATCATCGAATTAACTAAATTATTAAATTGAATCAATGAAATTATTATATTAAATCAATAAATTGAATTAATTAAATTATTACTTTAATTTATTGAAATTATTAAATTGAATTCATGAAATTATTGAATTAATTTAATTAGCTTCATTTAAAAAAAATTAATTAAAATTATTATTTTTATTTATTAATTAAGCTTCAGCCTTTCGGCCCAGAAGTGGACTTGGTTTAATACAAAATTAAAAGAATATATAATTAAAATTATTATTATTATTGTTGTAACAAAATTAATGCTTTGTCTGACTGAAACTGGATTTTACTACTGAAAAACAAAATTACATCAATTTTAATTGCTTTGTCCGACTAAAACTGACTTTTACTACTTATAAACAAAATTACTGACAATTTAAATCGTTTTGTCTGATTAAAACTTCTATTTTATTTAACTGGTTTTAAATTTATTATCATCATCATCGTAGACAATAATACTCTCTTAATCACATCCATTTATATTTGATTTTCATCACATTATTTATATAGCTCTCTTTCTCTCTTTCTCTTAATTCAACTAATATAAAAGTTAAATCCTCTCTATAATTTTCCAAAATTCTTATCTTAATTTCTATTTGAAAACTTTTCCCTCTGACATTATAAAAGGCGAAAACACACGCTTTTTCCGAGAAAAACATGTTTATAATGAACTTTCGAATCTAAAATACACACGCAAGTTTCTGATCGAATGAAATGCAATTTCGAAAGTGGCAACGGCGGAAAATAATATAAAGGTTTAGTTTTATCTTTTCCTTTTCTTTTCAAGAAAAACTTGAAATCTTGAGAGCTGGCACGTCTTTTTGATAAACTGGACGTGAGATGACAGATATGATAGATAGGAGAGAGGGATATATATATGATATATATATATAGAAATATAAAAGAAACTTTTTGAATTTTTGCGAAAACGGGCAGAGAATAAAATTGAATATTACAAAAGTTAAAAAGAAACTTTCACCAAATTCTTATACTTTTTATTTTTATTGAAGTCACCAATTGATAAACAGGGTAATAATTCATATTCTTAAAAATTAACAATTCCAAATTTGTCTAGTACAAAAATTGTTTTATTTTATTGATTATTTTTTGGATTTTTCAAAAATTTTTTCTTGGTAAATAATTTTTTTTAATTTATAGATGGAATTTTTTTAATATGAAGAAAATTTATTTGATTTAAATAATCGTTTATTTGACTATTAGCAAATAAATATTTAGTTGAATCGAAAAAATATTTATTTGAATTAAAAAAAATTATTTGTAGAAAAAAATATTTTATTTGTTTAAATAAATATTTATCTGCATTTAATAATTATTCATTTGTATTAAATATTTATTATAGTTAAATTGTTTTAATTTTTTCAAATACAGAAATTACTGGTTCAAATACAGTTTATTTAATTTAAATAAAAATTATCTGGTTCAAGTAAATATTATTTGGTTTAAAGTTCAAAGAAATATTTATTTGCTAATAAGTAACCGATTATTTTATTTTAATAAAATCTATTTTAATTAAATACAATTTTTTTCTATATATAGAAAATTTAGAAATTTTGCAAAAGTTGTTCAATTTTTTTTTTTATTATTATTTTGCGATCAGAATCAAGGGCTTCTTGATAAAGTTGGTCACGATTTAACACAATAATCTTAATCTAGTTATGAAACAGATGGACGTTAATTTTGTTAATGGACTTGACTTTTGGGTGGGAATAGTTAGTCAGGCGCTTGATTCTCGAGGTTGTGGTTTACGTTCCCACCGTTAAGCTTTCCTCTCTCTCTCTATCTATCTCCCTCTCTTTCTCTCTCCTTCTGCAACGGTCAGGCAAATAAGGATTAATTAAGCGGGTCACGGGTGCTCGGAATATCCCTTTAATTCGATTCACACACAGTGTGTACTTCCAAAGTTTCTCTATAGTCGCATTTTATTTTTTCTCTTCATATGTGTACGAAGAAAATTTTCACAAATTTGTCCTAAAATTACCTTTGTAATGTTTGACCTTTGCTGGACACACTTATCTTCTCTTGACTTGTAATTTTCAATGTAAATTTTCACTTTCAAAATTAAAGGCTCTCTCATTCTCTCAAATTGTTTCAGAATATTTGTTGAAAATAATTTAACAAATTATTAGAGGAAAAAAGAAAATTTTCAAATTTTTTTTTATTTATTAATCTTGAAATATTTCTAATAAAATAATTATAATTTTAATAACATATTTAATTATTTACCGCATATAATTTAATATGCTTGAGATATTAAATTTACATTTTTGTTTTATATAAAACAAAATATATATATATATATATATTTATAATTATGTTGTAAAATTATTGACATTTTACATGGGTTTTGATCATAAAATCTTTGATAGTGTACATTTTATTATAAACTATTATATAATTTTATAGCGAGGTGGAATTTTATTGCGTGAAAAACTGATAAACTAAACGCAAATAAAACATGATAAATGCATTAAAATGAAATTTGTAAATCCTGAAATTATTTTCAAATTTATTATTACGTGTATTATTATTATTATTATTATTATAAAATACAAAACGTAATTAATTGATATAAAGGGACCATTTATATATATATTATTAATATAAAAGAGAATTATAATTTTAAAATAAGTGATTACGCAAGTGAATATTAATTTTCTCCTTTTGAAATTTATTACATATAATAATAATTATTATTATTATAATAATACTGTTCATTATTTATTTTTTTTATTCCATATTACATGTTTTAGTAGGTCTTTACATTAATTTTCAAACACTTAGAGTTTAATTATATAATAATAATAATAAAAATAATAAAAATAATAAAAATAAAAATAATAAAAATAGTAAAAATATTAATACTATTATTATTATATATTTATTATTTAACATTTTCCGAGGAATTATGTAATTGTGATAGACAAATAACGATTCTAATTATAATTGTTGGCAAATAATGACAAATCATTATTTCAAGTGACTTCAAAGCCGAACTGAAAAATCAAATTAAATTGGAATAATTTATTTCCCAATTGAATTTTCAGTTACTTTTGTAATTATCATTTAAATATCAATTTGTCTCTTTGAATATGAAACAAATTTTGAAATACTGTTTTTAATATTAAGTGATTTTGAGTTTACTTGTTTATAAAAAATATTTTTAAATTATAATTTTTATTATATTATTTTTTATATTTGACAATAATAATATATTATTATTTTATAATTATAATTATTATATTATAATTATTATATTATAATTATTATTTTTATTCTTATTATTTTATAATTTAATTATAATTGTGAAAAATTAAGAAAGGATTATATTCTGTCTTGAAAATTGGAATGCAAAGATTATAAAGTGAAGTAGAAAAGTTTATCACTTTTTTCTTTTCTTTTTTTTTTTTTGCAAAAAAGTGTAAGTTGATTCAGGAAGTTAAATTGAGTAGATAGAGTACCTGAGCTGCAACCATGCCTTCCTTTAGTCTCCGGAGATCTGTATGACTCCAAGCACTCTGGGACCAAGGGGGTATGTTTCTGAGGTCATCAAACTTGAATTCTCTCAGCTGATTCTTTAGGAACTTTCGTATATTCCAGGGTAAATCGTTGTGTCTAGAATCAAAAAAGTAATTCACTTTTTTTAAAAAAATAATATATTTAAAAAATACCCGAAAAAATCTTTGTTGTTGATTATATGATATTTCTATAGAAAAAAAAAAATAATCTCATTTTTAGAGAAAAATTCATCTTCTGATAGCATTTCATTGAAATTTGTTTTTTTCCTTGTATTATTGAAATTTTTGTTGTATATATCGACTTGGAACAAAATTTATATAAAAAATTAAATACATTGTGAAATAAAATTGCATTCTGAGTGCTTTTAAGTAAGTACATTTCAATGTTGTGTTTGTACAGTTTCTGAATGCAGAATATATAAATTATAAAAAAAAAAAAAAACTCGAGCACTTGAAAAAGCAGAAACGTGTTTGGCATTTGTAAATTCCTCGTCAACTCTTTATGTATATTTTAGATATTTACATTTATATTTTAAAACAAAAATAATGAGAATTTTTTTTTTTCATTTAATCCGTAATAACCTTTTGTCGGTGGATTTTATTTTTTAATTGATTTTATCTGGTTGTTTATTGGTTTTATTATTAAAATTTCTGTATGAAATGAGCTTTTTTATTTGTTTACTATTTTTATTATTGTTTTTTTTTGTTTTTTTTTAATAATCACGAACCGTCAGTAAAATATGAAAGTAAATTAAAAATCCCTTTTTTCTCGTTTTAACTGATGAACAAATAATACTCGACTACACAGAAAAAAGTTGGTGTTATTTTTGTGGCGGGTAATTTTCTCTAATGTTAAAACCCATAAGATTTAAGCCACAATTTGGGTAAAATTTGTTGCGTGTTATTTTAACACCAATTCTGATGTTAAAATAACACTTTCTTTTTGATGTAAATATTGCAATTTTTTGTTTTTATTTAAAAATTTTCAATTTAAAACAAAAAAATAATTTTCAATTTTTGAATTTTTATTTTTAAATTAGAAAATTAGGTATTAAAATTGAAAAGATTGGGAATTTATTTCTGCTATATCACCCCTTTTTTTCTTTGGGCTAAAAAAGTAACTTTTAGAGGAGATCCTGTCAGTTTACTCGTTTTTTTCAAGCATCTGTGTTTGTATTGAGAAACATCTTAGAAACTCGTTTGAAAAAGTTTTTCCTCGTGTGCGGATTTTTACTTCCTGTAACTTTTCACCGTGTGGCAATTTGAAAGTTTTTTTTTCTCTCTCTCTCTCTCTTTCCCTCTGCCGGAAACCAGAACGAAAAGTGCCACACCCTTAGCGTTCACGCGTGCAAAAGTGTTCTCGAAAAAGAAATTGAATAACGATCAAACAAAATTTTTCCAAAGCTTGACATTGCGCGGAAATTTTATATTCATATATCAATAAGTTTCGAATTCTATAATTTGCAATATAGAAAACTTTTAATCTCAAGTGGATTTTTTTTACTTCCCTTATATTTGTATTTTTACTCGATTTTTTAAAATTTATTTTTGAGAACTGTTTTTTTGGGATTTAATTTTGAATTTTTGGAAAACAAGGTTAAAGTTTTGGATTGAAATTAGCAGTTTGTAGGCGAGTCAAAACGCTTTTGATCCCACAAAACCCACCCTTTACCCTTGGAGTTCATGAGTCGTGTGTCTGATCGAAAATTGCTTCCCTTGTAGTTGACCAACTTTAACGTTACCATTTGAGAATTTAACTTTAGAATGTTAGCAAGCGTCGTTGAAGTTTAGCAAGTATGTGCATGTGCATTTTGCTTTCTACTGACTAAAGTTTGTTTTAGTCCCGACATTAGCCCAAGAGTAGACTTGTGTTTTGGTATAGTTACAATACCCGTTCATTACATGACTTTACAAGTTTCTTGCTCTCGCACCCATATTTGACCCACCGCCGTCAAATACTGGAACTACACACGAATGAAATCAGTTTTAGAAAGCTATTCCGTCCTGTAAAAGCATATACATATATATACCTTGATTAAATTTTGACATAAATGAAATAGAGATTGAGGAATTTCGATATGGGAATTTTCATATGTGTGTATAAATTTTAGAGAAACTTTGTGTTAGTCTCTTTGTTATTACATGTATACTGTCTCTAAATTTGAATTAGTGTGAATTTAGTTCACTAACTTAAATTAGTAAAAATTTCTACTAATTTTTAGTTTGTTTTCATATAAGAATTTAATAAAAAAAAATATTACTAAATCAAATAGTAATATTTTGCTATAAATTAGTAAAAATTTTACTGTAAATTTCGATTAATTTTGAATCAATTTTTACTAAAATTTTAGTAAACCAAAATATTACTAAATCAAATAGTAATATTTTGCTAAAAATTAGTGAAAATTTTCCACTAACTTTAGTTAATTTTCTGTACTGATAACTTCTATTAAATTTTAGTCATTTTTTTTTATTAAAACTTTAGTAAACAAAACTATTACTAAATCAAATAGTAATATTTTTCTAAAAATTAGTAAAAATTTTACTGTAAATTTCGACTAATTTTGAGTCAATTTTTACTAAAATTTTAGTAAACCAAAATATTACTATATCAAATAGTAATATTTTGCTAAAAATTAGTAAAAATTTTACTAAAAATTGCGACTAATTTTTACTCAGTTTTTACTAAAATTTTAGTAAACAAAAATATTACTTAATCAAATAGTAATATTTTTCTAAAAATTAGTAAAAATTTTACTGTAAATTAAATTTCGACTAATTTTGAGTCAATTTTTACTAAAATTTTAGTAAATCAAAATATTACTTTATCAAATATTAATATTTTGCTAAAAATTAGTGAAAATTTTCCACTAACTTTAGTTAATTTTCTGTGCTGATAACTTCTATTAAATTTTAGTCATTTTTTTTATTAAAACTTTAGTAAACAAAAATATTACTAAATTAAATAGTAATATTTTGCTAAAAATTAGTAAAAATTTTACTGAAAATTGCGACTAATTTTTTTTTAGTAATTATCCTCTAAAAAGTAAAAATTCTCAATAATTTAAATTTAGAGACTATACAATGAGATATAAGATAAAAGTTTATATTTTTTTATTAGATTTCCTATTCTTCGTGATTTGTCTGACTATACACTGATCTTACTACTTGTCGACATTTTTCCTCTGTCTGACTGAACTCTGATCTCTTTCACTGTAAAAATTTTCCTTTTCTCTCTTGCAGTGAATTGAACAATTTTAATTTTAACTCCGCCAATTTTTGCTTAATTAAAACTAGAAATTTTAATTAAGAATTTAATTAAAAAGGAAAAATTTTGTTTTATATATATAACAAAAATAATTGTAACATTTTTTTTCGATCGCAGTTTATTGAATTAATGTTGTAAAAATAAAATTTAAAAAAAAATGTTAACCAGAAAAATTTGTACGTTGTAAAAAGGATATGAAATTTGATACTGCGTGCGAACGTAAAAGTATTCTAGCAAATGAATTTTCTTATTGTTACTTGTATAGTTTACGGGTTTTTATGGTTTTTTTTCAGTGTAAACTCACGCCAACCGTCAAGCCACATTTCTTCAGAAAAGAAAATAAAACTTTTGCTTCCTCACAGAGGAAGCTTTATGAAAGTGATGATTTTCGCCTTTTTAAAAATAGATGCGATATTTTATTGTTACAAAACTAAACCAAAAATAAAATTGCGTTATTTTTTCTTTAATTTTACATTAGGAAAAAAAATTTTTTTTGGTCCACTTTAGTCAATTATATGTCAGAGTCTGATATCTTGAGATTTTTCTTTATCAGTTTTTTTTTACATTTTTTTCAATTGGAAAAAATGTAAAAAAAAACTGTTTAATATTGCGCTCTTTTTTTCGTTATAAAATTCTTCAATTAAAAAAATTAAGTCGTATAAACTTTGTATATAATTGTTTCGTTAAGGCTAATGTGTTGTGATATATATTTTTCACTTAATGCACTTGAGATTGAAATTGAATATTTAAAATTTGCCTGTATGGAGATTTAAATAATTTAATGTTCATCTCTGAAGTGTACAAATTGTGATATATTGCGCGAGATTTTAAGTGGGTACAATTTCGCATGATACATTACTCGAAAATCTCCCTTCGAGTTCATATATATGGAAACATATTTCCTTTGGGTATAACGTGACTGATCTGACATAGTGGACAGTAAGTGAATTTTCACTGCTCCAGCCCTTAAACGTTACCATAAAATATGCTTATGTAAATAGAAGACGGCATCACACGATTTACCTTGCGAAGCTTTCTCTCTCTCTCTCTTCTCTCGTGGTTGTGTAGTTTCAGAGGTAAATGTCAAAGACACAATTTTTCCTTTTGAATAAACTTTTCTTTTGGACTCTCCGCGACGACCCATGAGAATTTAAAATATTGCTTTCTTTATAGATACAATTTTTTATTCTCTAAAATTGTGTATACATTCTTTTCAATTTTTCGTCTGATATTTTCTTTTTTTTTCCCTTTTGTTAGCTTTTATTTTCATTTCGAAAAAAGTGAATTATACACACTGAAAAAAGGTATCGTTGATTGAAGAAAAGAATTTATTTTGTATTTGATCAATTTTCTTAATTCAGGAAAATTTACTTCAAACTATAGTAAAATTTTATTGGATCAAGAAAATATAAATATGGACAAGTAGATAAATAAAAATAAGACAATTTTCAAAAGAATCGCCCTGAAAATCTTGGATAAAAATTAAAATGCAAATTTAAAAGGGAGAAAATCTTAGAAATAAGGATTTTAATAATTTAAATTTCCTCGTTTAAAGCATACAATAAATAAGAAAATTTTCAAAAGAATTGTCCTGAAAATCTTGGATAAAATTTTTTAATAAAATATATTAAAGAGAAAGAAAAATAATCTCAGAAAAATCAGTGCACAGAATTTTAAATATCTCAATCTTCTCTTGTATTGATTCCTGTATTATCCACGCATATTATATATCCACGACATTATCCTTTTGACAACACTTTTATCTTGCGCACCGCCTCTGGTTTTGGCGTTTCATTTCGTTTTCCGATTGTCGTAGAGGAAGAAAATTG